TACGAAAAGACTCTACCACTTTCCAATATCTCATTTAAATCATTGTTTTGAAACATATTACGAGGAAACTCTCCAACTTCCCAAATTCAAAATTTAAAATTACTTTAAACATATCTAATATTTAGGTTGTAATTTTTAAAATTTTTTAATACAAAATTTTCTTATAAATATCAACCTTCTTTTTTTTTTCTTCACTCAAATTCTAATTCTAATTCTCAATCTCAAATTCTCTCAAGTTTCAATTCAGAGTGTTTAAATTTTCAATTTCTCTTGTATTTTACCTCCGTTCATCTAAAATTTTTTCAAATATTCCAATATTCTGTTTCAAGTTAAAAAAAAAAAGATTTCATATCTTCGACTTTCGAGACTTGTTTGCTTAACTATTTCCTAAATCTTCTCTCATTTACAGTATTTTTTTTAAATGGCTCATAGCCATATTCATGAAAACAATCTTCCTCTCACCATTGCCAATGATGATGAAGCTGAATTTATTGAAGGTGTCGGCTCACAATCTTGAAGTACAGACGCAACTACTACAAGTGTAAGTGTTGAAGTTGTTCAACGAAATACAGGTAAGAGAGCAGCATCTTCTGTTAGAGAATATTTTGAAAAGGTAGGAAAAAAGTTAGATAACGGAAAAATAGAATTGAGACAAAAGTGCAAAACTTGTGGTAATTTTTTTTCAAAAGATGGTCCTAGTCATCTTATTAGGCACATGAGACCTTGTAGTAAAAAACACAATGTAGATATTGGAAAATACATGCAATTAGGTAAAGATCAATTATGTAATTTAACTAATTTTTCTTATAATAAGGAATATGCTAGATCTGAATTAGTAGATTACATGATTAGAGCAGAACTCCCTTTTACTTTTATAGATAATCATGATTTTACTGGTACTATTCAGAGATCGTTTAACCCACAATATGAAGATTTTTCGACTTCTACTGCAAAAAGAGATGTTATGAAAAAAGTTTTGGCCAAAAAAGGTGTTTTAAAAACTTATTTTTCTAATTTTAAGAGACGAATTTGTTTGACATCTTATATGTGGACTTCTTGTCATCAACAGAGCTATCTTTGTTTAACTGCACATTAAATTGATGCTGATTGGAAATTATGCAAACAAATTATATCATTTAAAATGGTTGAGTCTCCTCATACTGGTTATATAATAGGAAATGTCATATTAGAATCTCTCAAAGAATGAAATATTGTTGATCAAGTTTTATCTTTAACTCTAGATAATGCTGATAATGCTAGTAATAATGATATAGCTACCTCATTTTTAAGTCATTATTTGAAATCACCACTAGGCATTAATTTTCGTATTCGTTGTTGTGCCCATGTTTTAAATTTAATTGTACAAGATGGTTTGTCGATTCTTTTTTATTCTATTTCAAAGTTAAGATCTTTAGTTCGTAATATTAATAGTTCTCAATTTAGACATGAATTATATTTTAAATGTTGTAAACAATTAAACAAAAAGAGAAGAAATATTAGAATTGATTTACCTCATAGATGGAATTCAACATTTGAAATGTTGAAAGTGGCAGTAGCATATAAAGAAGTTTTAGATTTGTATTGTATTGAATTGCAGTTCTCGTCATGTTAATATTGTACAACTTACTGAGCTTGATTGGAGATATTCATCAGTTGTTCGAGATTTTTTAAATGTTTTTGATACTTCGACAAAATATTTTTGTTCGGTATATTCTTCTAGTATTTGTCAAGTTATACCAAATTTACTTAATATTTGCTTTATGTTTAAGAATTATTCAAATGTAGACTTGTTTAAATCTGTGATTGAAAAAATGAAAGAAAAGTTTAATAAATAGTTTGATGATTTGCATATTACGTTTTTGCTTGGAATGTTTTTTGATCCTAGATATAAAAATCATTTTTTTGATACTTATTTAGATTTGTTGTTCGATAGTAATACTGATAAAATTAATGATACTATAAATTCATTTAATTCTAAATTATATGAGATATATCATTTTTATAAGAAAACGGTAAATAATTCTACTGTTACTGTTGGTGCATCTTCTTCTTCATCTACATATTCAATAAATCTAATAATTTCTCAACATCACATTTAAATGTTGCCATGATACTTTCTAAAAAGAAGAAAATTGATTCTTCAAAAAATTTTGAAGCTCTTGATTTAAAAAATTATATGCATTTACCCACAATATCTATGGATACTATTGAACATTTTAATATTTTGGATTGGTGGAAATTATATGAAAATACTTATCCCCTACTCTCTCTTATGGCACGGGATATACTAACAATTCCTGCTTCGACTGTAGCATCAGAATCAGCTTTTAGTGCAGGTGGTCGAGTTATATCAGACACTAGAAGCAGCTTATCACCTTCAACCGTTGAAGCATTAATATGTCTAAAAGACTGGGGTCTAGCGAAGAAAAGAATGCACGAAGAAGAAAATATTAAAAAAGTGGCTGAAGAAATGGAAAAGTTGAAATCATCGGTGTTGGAATTTAAGGACAATAGTTGTTCCGAAGAATTATTTTTTTTTAATATTAGATTCCATTCTATTTATTTATTTTATTTGAGAAAATGCACATGATTAGCAAATGAATAGGTGCCAACCTAGTTGGGATGTCCTCATATTGTAGTGATGCAATAATTCTCAAAACAAAATATAAATAAACAAATAATAAAACCATCTATTATTTTTTTTTGTGATTATTTTTGTAGTTTTGTTTAGATAGGTTTATATTAATAAAGTTAAAAATTATAAATTTAATTTTTAAAAATAAAAAATATAATTTTTAAAAATAAGACAACTTAAAATTGTAACATATGACATAATAAAATTTATGAGTAAGATTATAAAAATAACAAAAAAAAGTACCAAAAATTATATAATAACACATATTCTAGAATTTAAAAATAAAAGACATAGTTTGGAAATTATTTAAATTTTATAATAACACATATTCTATAATAACACATATTCTAGAACATGCCATTTCTTCCTTGAATCAGGCCAACAGCCTTCTGGAGGGTACCCAACGTGAGTTGGAAACGGAGAAGAGAAAATCTTGGGACGAGCTGGCTAACCTACAGAGGAGACTTGACGAGGCCAATGCTCGGCTCTCTAACTCTGAATTTTGGCCAGTGAATTCAAGAAAACTCAGGAGTACGTCGACCTGCAAAACTCTGCCATGGAGTGCGGTGTTTCCTGGTCTCTTCTCCATGTTTCTACTCAGCACCCTGACATTGACTTTTCCTTCCTTCCAGAGCGTTTTAGAGYCGAGCGTGACGCTCCTGACGACATGGATGACGACGACGACGAGTAATAGGGTAGCTTGACCGAGTTGCTTTACTATGTTTAGCGTCCGGTTGACTTTTATGTGCTTTGTTGCTACATTGCTTGTATTTCTTTTTGGAATTATCAATTAACCCTCTTACCAATCACTTATTGGCTTACGGCTCTAACTCTGATGGAGTTTTGTTGCTTTCATTTCCGTAGGTTTCTAACCCATTGGCCATAGCCAATGGTTTTATACCTGCTGTCGTCTTTGACTTTTTACTCCATCTCATGTTTTAACCGTGCTAGATCAATCGACCCGCTTCTGGTTTGGCCGTGTTGAGATTGTTTAATTGTTCTTTCCAAATGTGTCGATTAAAGTAGATTCGTGCCCCATCGCACGTGGTCGGCGTCGAGTGGTGGTCGGACCCGAGCCTTACTCAGTCGAAAATAAGACCTATTGACAAAAATAAGCTACCAAATGGTTATCTCATAGTTCAAAATTGCTGTTTAATGTAGATTTGTGTCCCATCACACTTGGTCAGCGTCGAGCAGTGGTCAGCCCTGAGCCCTGCTCGGCCTATTCGGCTAGAGCTGGTTTTACCGTCGTCGAGTAGAGTTGGATTTACCAAGCTTACGTCGCCGAGTAGTCGGTACCTATTGCCCTACTCTTAAGGTAGTGTATTGTCGATATCTTTTGAGAGTACGCTTATAGACGAGGCAAGGTGTTTTATCAAAGTCGCTTGGCATCTCGTTTTGGATTTAGAAGACATAGTTGATAGAGAACCAAACAAATGGATACTTTATTGAAAAAAAGAAACAATAATCAGAAATCTTGCTAAAAGTAGAGAAACAAAAACAACCACACTTGAAGGAAAAAAGGAAAGATCAACAACCCCCTTTAGTAGAAGTCCTGTCGTTGCCCCTCATTGAGGTATAGTAGCATTCCCGCGACACTCGTTGCTCTCCTTTAATCTCTCCTACTCCACCCGGTGTTGGGAACTTCATGGACTGGTGGTATGTGGATGGTATCGCTTTGAGCATATGCATTGTCGGTCTTCCCAATATTGCGTTGTAGGAGGATGTGTAGTCAACAACCAAAAAGTCCACCATCTTGGTGACACTTTTCGACCCACTTCCGAACGTTACAGGCAACTCTATCCTCCCCTCGGGAATGACCTGTTCCCCTCCAAATCCTACCAACGGTGCTGGGCTGCTCTTAAGCACCTTTTCTCCTAAATCCATGGCTTTGTAGGCTGTCCAGGAGATGTAACGCCCCAGGATGTTATATACCATCCTAGGTAATGCTAAATAATCCACCTGTCTAGCCTTAACTCTAAACACGAGATAACCAACTCCCTGGGAAATAATTTAAATAAAATAAAGCTTCGACTCCCATAATTCCACCAAAAATATCAATTTTATAAACTGTCGAAACTT